TCTTATAAATCATAGTAGGTTAAGAAGTATATATATAACCCTGTGTAGATTGACAGGGCATTGACTCTAGCTAACTTCCCTATTAGCCAACTTCCCTATTTTTGCAAAGCTGAGCTAGGTTCCTCATTCTTATTAAAAGCCCTGCTATAGATGATAAATCATAATTACTCCACTATCAATTATAGACACAGGGAGCTAGGAATGCCCAGACCTTGAGTATTGCTAATCTGTTAAAGTTCCCTACTTCTATAAATGTTCCCTGTTCTTCTCAGAGATGCTTCCACAAGGTAGATTTCCATGATGATAATGAAAACTCTTGTAATGCCCCCAGCCAATCAGAAAGCATAAACACTTGTGTTAATCAATATCATTTTCCTCAAATTGTGATCAATGTTCCTCATTTATTATGTTCCCCTTTCTAATGTTCCCTATTTACACCCATAAAATTGCTCTGTAAGCTCATAATGAGGTCCTTGTACCAACTTAGAGGTCTTAGATCCATTTTATTGTCAAATTGCCAGCCAATGCTAATAAACTGCTTGGAACTCCTTTGCCTCAGTTTCTCTTATTTGCAGATTTCAATCATGACAATATATAGACAGACAGATAGATTATACATATATACAGCAGTAAATTATAATCCTTGGGTGAGCATCACATTCTCTTCCCTTCTGAATTACCATAGGTACCAAATAAAAAATAGGAAGGGTCAAAGGTTTTCAGCTGGTGCCATAAGTTATACTGTTATACTGTTGTTACAGAATCAGAGAATGGCAGAGTTGGAAAAGTTCAGAATTCTCAGTGGATATGGAATCCAACCCACATACACAAATCAGTCCCATCCACAACACACTCAATAAGTATTTATCAAGACTAACAGGCAGTTAGGTGGTGCAGTAGATAGTGCACTGGGCCAGTAATTAGAAAAACCTGAGTTCAAATCCTGTATCAGATAATTACTAGCTGTGTGACCCTGGGTAAGTCATTTAACTTCTATTTGCCTCAGTTTCCTCAACTGTAAAATGGTGATAGTAATAGCACCCACCTTCAAGAAATGTTGTGAGAGTAATTATTAAATATCTAACAAAGTAAATTTTAAAATGTTTTTTAAAAAGAGTTGTTGTGACGATCAAATGCGATAATATTTGTAAGGTATTTAGCATGTTGCCTGGCATATTATGTTCTTCCTTCCTTGGCTTGAATACTACCATTAAAAAAAAATGCTAAGGCAGCTTAATTCACATTTCTATAGCTCAGAATGTTGATAATACTCTCTCCTGGTACCAAGTCTCTTTGAGGCTTCAAATTCTTTTATTTATTTCTATCCAAAGAGTTCTATTCATTTTTTAAGGCAAGAACAACAATATTGAGATGATTCGGTTTCTCAAGTAGTATGTCTACTGGAGTTGATCCTTGGTCAAAGATCTCATATATCAATTACAAAAACAAAACAAAAACCTGCAGTGAAGTTTATAGACAGTTTAAGAACTGTGTAATTGTTTGCTTCCCTTGCTCTTTTTCTAACACCTTTACTTTGGAAGTAGAAGGGGAGTGCACAAGACTGAGGGTCAATTTACATTTTCTTTTGTCTCACACATTTCCAATGTCAAAGAATTCATCGCCAACTATCTAGCCTACTGGTGATGCATCTCTGCAAATTTAACTAAACTAATCCTAAGAAAACTGATAAGGCCTGCTGATGGAATTGTACTCCAGCATGAGAGAACCTGCCAGAGTTTGCATCTAGAATCCCTTCAGGAACTGTCTGGGAGCAAGCAGAAGAATTCTAAAAGCTCTTATATGGTCCAGCCCTTCAAAAATTTGAAGAAGTTATCATGTCTCCACTGAGAAGTCTCTACTGTGGAAAATGTTGTTGAGGATATTGCTTTTGCATATCACTCAATGAAGGGTTGAATGCCTACGTGACAACATTGGAGTCAGTTTAAACTGGGAGGGAATGTGAGAAATAGTTTTTTTTGTTTGTTTGTTTGTTTATTTCCATAAAAGTCACATGGAACCTAAGGGATGCAATCTAAAGGGCTAGGTGGAAGTTGAACAAAGGAAGCCATATTAGAATAGGAAAACACTATTGGTGGTGAATAGACTAACCAGTGGAAAACCAATTCTGAGGTTAGGTATAGATTAACATCAAAAGGGGTGTTCCCAAATAAGATCCAGGGTCAATGAATTGTGGGGAGTGATTAGGGGCAGTGACTCAGGTGGGGAAATTAGGGGCTTTGGATAGGCTGTAACCTCTATAGTACCCAGCCAATGGGGAAACAGGGGAAGGAAACTCAAATAGGGAATAGCGAATTAAAAGGTGGACATCTGTCCACATATGTGCTCTCACATGCATGCTTTTACACATGGGGGATGCCCAGTCTTCCCAAGTCGTTAATAAAGCTTCTTCCTGATTCAACAATGGCTTCATGGAATTCATGATATAGATAACATCTACTCTATACTGAACTTTTTCAGTTCCTCCAAATGATCCTCATATAATATGAATATGAGACCCTTGACCACCCTAGTTACCCTTCTCTGGACACTCTCCAGCTTACTGATATTTTTTGTAGTGTGTGGTGCCCCAAATCCTACACAGTACTCCAGATGTGATCTAATTAGGGCAGAGTACAATGGAATTATCACTTACTTTTTCCAGGAAACTCTAGGATTCTTATTTACCTCAAGTTCACACTGGCTTTTTGGGTTCCATTTTGTACTGTTATATATTGCTCCCTCTAACTCCACTCTCGAAACTCCCACTCACCCTGGCAGATTGAGCTCATCCCACCTGGCCCATCACTCCTCCTTTAAAGTTCTAGGGCAGGGGTGGGGAACCTGTGGCCTTAAGGAAAAATCCTTAAGAAAAGGATTTGTTCTGTAAAACTTGGACTCAGTCAAAGAGCCGCGCTTGAGGACCTAGAAGGCCACATGTGGCCTTGAGGTCACAGGTTCCCCACTTCTGTCTGAGGGAAACTCTGAGTGCCTGGGTTTAAGTCTCTACTGGTGTACTCTCCACTGATTATTAGCCAGGGTTAATTAGCTTTAGAAAGGGTATTTACTATATAGATATAGAAAGTACAGTTCTTACAGAAACATACCCCCAATCCAAGGGCTCACTCTCCCCTGACACATAGTAAGTGCCTGGGGATAATGGGATCAAAACTAAAGAACACATATGATCAAAGGGTAAATTCACAGCTACTGGTCATCACAATCCTTTTCTCTTTTTGTGGAGTCCTTATGAAGTCTCCTCAGGTGTAACTCCTTGCTGGATTCCAGTGCCTTAGTAGAAACCTGTGTCTCTCAAATCTCAGTGCAAACCCTGCCATCAATCACTCATTGTCCAAGGGCACTGCTACTGGCTCTGCTGGACACTGCTACCAATGCTAATAGGAATTCCAAATCTTCTTTTGACATTCACAAGGCCTTCACCTGATTAGTAGGGCAGGAGAGGGAAATGCAAGGAAAGAAACTCCCTCCTTTCCCTCACAATTCTCCCTCAGGGGTCCTTCACCCAAGCACTCAACACCTTCCAATACACCTACTGTTAGAATTAGAATTTGATACTGACTTGCTGGAACTGGAAGTTTGTCTGATTCTTCCAGCCAATCACAAGACATTTCCTATGCAGCATCATCTATTTTCATCCAATAAATAAACACCATGCTCCTCTCCAATTGATTAAGGACTTGTTCATTCCTAATTTTTTCCCAGTAGGAAATTGCTTACTAATAGATTCAACCCAGTGTTCTAAAATGTGAAGATCTTTTTAGTATCCTGATTCTGTCAACTATTATGCTTTCTATCCTTCCTGGTTTTATATTATCTCCTAACCTTATGAGGATGCAGTCTATGCCCTTATCTAAGTCATTGATAAAATTAAAATAATATGCTACTAGAGACCTCATATAAGGTCTACAATATCAGTTTTTGATTCCAGCCATTCAGACTCTTCTAAAGCCCTCTAATTGTATTATCCCCCTCATCCATCTGTCTCCATCTTTATAGTGGTAATAGAATAAAATGCTTTAGTGAATGCTTTACCAGAATCTAGGTAAACTACATCAAGAGCATTTCCCAGATTTATCGGTTTAATAACCCTGTCCAAAAAAAGGATATAAGGTTAGTCTGATGCAAGATCCATTCTTAATGTGACTATGATAGCTCTTTGAAAGTGCCACTTTCATTTTTGTTGTTGGGTCATTTCAGTTATGTCTGATTCTCCATGACTCTATTTGGGGCTTTCTTGGCAAAGATACTGGAGTGGTTTGCCATGTCCTTCTCCAGCTCATTTTACAGATGAGGAAACTGAGGCAAACAGGGTTAAGTGACTTACCTAGGGTCACACAGCTAGTAAGTATTTGAGGCCAGATTTGAATTCAGGTCCTTCTGACTCCAGGGCTGGTGCTCTATCCACTGTGTCACCTAGCTGCCCACTTCCATTTTTAGATATTCCTTATCATCTTTTTGAAGATCTATTCTAAATTTCCTTGGGAAATTAGCTCACAGGACTATAGCTTCCTCATTCTAAGCACTTCTCTTTCTTAATTATTATGCCCTTCTCCACTCCTGCTAATTCTGAATGTGACTTTTTTGGTTCTATGAACTACTTAAAGTCTTTGGCAGAGAAAACATGAAAAGGTTTGTGGATTATTCATGAGGATCATTCTGGAGGGATCACTGTAAACTCATTTTAGGATTCTCAAGGCACTGTAGGTCATGCAAATATCGTTATATCCATTTTATAAATGAAGACTCAGGCTAGGGGTGGTTAAGTGACTTGGCCCTGGTCATACAGTTAGTCTCAGGGCCCAGATGTAAATCCACGTATCCCACTTCTACCTCCAGTGCTCATTCCTACTACACCATACTACTTTAATGCAAAAGACCAGCAACAATTGTGTCCTTTTATTTTTTTATGATTAACAAGCAATTGTTTTTTCTCTCTCTCTCATGCCCTCCCCCCATGCTGAACAATAAAAAAAGAAAACCCTCATAACAAATATGCATAGTAAGAACAAAACAAATTCCCACACTGTCCATGTTCAGAAATGTATGTCTCATTTTGCATGTTAAGTCCTTCATTCTTCTGGTAGGAGATGGGTAGCGTGCTTCATCTTCGGACCTCTGGAGTCATGGTTTATCATCGCATTGATCAGTAATTATGCCACTGACTACACCTTCAAAACCATTTCCTATTCTCTTGGACATATTTATGCTAAGTCCATGATGCCCTGACAACAACACACTAAAGAAAAATGAGCAAGGTGCCTAGTAGGTGCACACAGAGGAATGTCATAGAGAAACATAGAAGGTATCACCTGGAGTCTGAACAAAGCCTTTGGGCTGGTAGCCAGTAAGATGAAGTGAAACAAAGGAAGATAAATTCAAGTGAATGGTCTTATATTCAGCCAGCCTCCTGCCTGAAGGGGGTCTGTTTCATCACAAATTCTCCATGCACTAGCACCCTCAATTTACCCATGAGCTGTTTCAAACTCTCCCTGCAGCACTACCTGAGGAATATCCTATCTTCACAGGTCTGGCTTTTGGTATTATTCTGGACCAGGTCTAGCTTAGGCCAATCCAATGATTCAGGCTTACGACTGAATGCAATAAAACACTCATGTATTATAACATTCCAGAAATATAAATTTACAGCACTCACAATGATTGAAAGGATATTTTCCAAAAATAGATGTTGCTCCTTTCTGTCTCCCCATTCACATTGAATCTTGCATTGCAGTCAGCGACAAGGAAGATCAACCAATAGGTCGAGTCTCACTTATCTACCAATTCTACCTCCCAAATAATTCCCAAGGTCAATCTCCTTCCCATCTTAAAAGGAAACCTGCTCTTACCATAATCAATTGCCAGACTTGGGCTGTGCTCCTCTTGGTTGTAGAATGGTTGGGTATAAATGGGTTTTTAATAGGGATTTGGTGATGATCACTGGGCTCATTATAGACTATTTTTGGAGAGTTAATGGCAAGGATAGCTTAAAACAAAAAAAAATAAAAAATAAATAAAATTTTTTTAAAAAGATAGCTTAAAACACTATTTCTTGTGACAATTTGTTTCACCAATAGAAAATGTGCTTTCTCTCTTGGGGCTCTCTTGGGTCCTTCTCATGCTTGACTGAATTCAGAGTTACTAAATTTCAAGGTCAAATTATTAAATGCTCACAACCTCTAGAACAAGCCTTGGTTCACATGGCACAGCCCTAAGCAGAAACCAAGTAAAGGAACTACAAGATTACATTTAAATGTCTTCACCAAATTTGTACCTTTTTGTTTCTTTTGAGACCCTAACAATGGGCTTAAAAGAGGAGAGAATTCTGAATTGCCATGGCTGCTGACCATACTGATTAGATGTCCTTAGGCTTCCATTCAACTCGAGAATTCTAGGATGGTGCTACTCTATATCTGGTAAGATTTTGATGTTCTCAGAGAAAAGATGTCATAAAACTACAAAGAAAAAGTGATGTTGTACAAAAAATCACTGGATAAGAGAGTCAGAGATTTGAGTTTTAGACACACCTTTAGCCAAAATTAGAAAGAGGAATGGATCTGAATTCAAAGGACCTGGATTGAAATTGACCTTTACCATTCACTGAGTAAGGTGAACAAGTCACTAAAATCTGGAGCTCAGTTTCCTCTTTTCTAAAATAAAGTATTGAACTACATGACCTCTTATGTTCCATCTTTATCCGTTATCCCATGACTCTGCAATCCAAATCTGACACAAACTAGCTGTATGGCAATGAGATGACTCTCCCTCTCTTAGTCTTAGACTCTACATTTATTAAATGGGAGATTTTAACTACAGGATCTTTCATGTCCATCCCAGATCTAATATTCTATGATTGATGCCTTTAGAAATGAACAAAACTCCCAAAAGTGATTCATTTCTTCTCAAGTCATTGCTTATATCCTCTTCTTTTCTGTGATAAGGGCAAAGTGTGGAGCCCAGAACTTATCCCTATAGTATTTTTGCCCCCACAGGAGAGACGTGCATGTGGGGAAACACAAAGATGGCAGGAACTGAGACATATGGAAAATGAAGCTTAATTTCTTTGAGGAAAAGGAGCAATCATAAGAATCTGAATCTCAGAAGGCAGCAGGGTCTCCTGCCCACAGCTGAGGTTTAATGACCACATAGCCATTTTTCTCAAAATTCAGCCTCCTCCAATCTAGGATATTAGGACTAAAGGTCCCACCAAGGTACACGGTATTAATCTCTCCTGGTGACAATGCAAAGTCCCACATGGACACATCTCCAATGTCTCCCACTAGGGATTGCTTCTCATCAAACCCTCCTCCAAAGGAATCCTGCTCTTGCCCAAGGATAATCTTTGATTGTTTCTCCACAACATACCCCTGCTTTAGGGCTTTCCTCACCATAGGCTTCCCATCTACCCAGAGTTCAGCAATGCCTGACTCTGACTCCCAGGTGGCACAGAAGTGTCTTGGAGCAGGAGTAGCCACAGGAACCTGGAACATCACCCCAACGTTGCCCACAGACAAGCTGAACTTGCTGCCCCCTTCATGAAAGAGGAGGATCTCATTATCCCGTGCCCTAGTGGCAAAAGAGAAAAGGTTATAGCTTCTGGTCAGGTCAGTGTAGACTTTCAGGCACACTGTGAAGGCCGTCAGGGGTTTCTCTAGGTGTGGTATTAGGGTCACGTAGGAATCCTGAGATTGTCTTGGGAACACAAAGGCTTTCCCACTCAGGTCTGTAGGAAAGGAAGAAGGGCAGAGGAAGAAAATCAAGTTTCAGACAATTCACAAATTGGTTCCCTCATTTACATATAAAATCAACAATAGATAATTCAGTACATTTCCCATATCCCATATGAAAAATGCATCTGAATTCTCTTTGTAAAGCCTCCTCTCCCATATCACATCTCAGACACAGTTGGAGACAACCCTTACCTGTCTGTGCAAGAGCATTGGAGAGACTCATGATGACCAGAAAGCACAGGGGCAGCTTCTCCATGTTTATTCTCTGCTTCTGCTCAATCAAGCTGTGGGGAGAACATCTATGGCTGAGATCCCCAAGTGGCTCAGGGAGCTCTCTCTTTATAAGGATCCACTTGGTGTGGGTTTATATACACACCAGTCAGGATGTCAGCAAAAATGTGTAAATGATTTTCCAAAACTACCTTTGAGATTTAGGAGTCAGAGTTATAGAGGCAGGATCACCTCTGAGCTGAGAAATCGATGTGAGTTATTTATTAGAGAGATGGTTGAAATTTAGCCTTGATGGGGTTACAAATTGAAGAGGTAGGAATGAAAGCAGCATTGGGTCCTGGTGGGAAGAGTCTCAGGGTCATGTCTTTGACATATAGGCAGGAAAACCAGGTTGCTCGGGCCTCATCACAGGTTATAAGGAAGAGTAAAGAGCCCAGTTCCCTAGTGGCAAGAACATACCTTCAATCTAGGAGCTACCATACCAAGGAATCCAAAGTAGTGTTGTGAATTGGGCAAGCAGTCCTAAGGTGGAGACCTGATTTTCTTCCACTCTGAAAGAGATAAAAAATAAAATTAGGGAGATGTCAGAGCCTCTCATCTGGCATCCTAGGCTGACCTAGTCTGCTGTTGCAGAATCATAGAAGGTCAAAGTGGGAAAGGACTTAATTAGTTATCTAATACAACCCAAAGGCACAAATGAATCTCTTCTATAACACACATGCCAAGTAGTTATCCAACTTTTGTCTACGGACCTGGCATGAGAAAGAACCCACTATATCCTAAGGTGATCTATTCTGCTTTTGAGAGATCTTTCCAGTCATCACCCTAAGTTGGCCTCTTTGGAACACTTACCAATTATTCCTAGTTTACCCCTCTTAGGGGGAAGAGAGAAAAGAAGTCTGATCCCCCTTCATTTATCCATTTGATTTATCCATCAGATTTATCCACCTGACATTTGATCCCTCTTCAAATACTTGAACCCAGCTATTCCCACTCCTACTCTCAACCAGTCTTCTGCAGACTAAATATTGCTACTTCTTTAATGGATCCTCATAATGAAGTTTAGGACCTTCACCATTCTGCTTGCCCTCCTCTACACACTATCCAATATATTGAAATACTTCCTTAACTGTGGTGCTGAGGACCAAATGCAATATTCCTGGTTTGGCTTTCACTGGGCAGAATGCTAAGGAGCCATCTCCTTACTCCTAGGTGTTTGTCCATTTTGAGGCAGCTAAAATAAAGTTTTTGGCTGCCACTATCATGTTTATGACCCATATTGAGCTTGTGGTTCACTAAAATCCCTAGATGTTGGTTTGTTTGGGTTTTTTTTTTGTTTTTGCTAGGCAACAAGGGTAAGCAACTTGCCCAGGGTCACACAGCTAGTAAGTGTTACACGTCTGAGGCCAGATTTGAACTCAGGTCCTCCTGAATCCAGGGCCAGTGCTCTATCCACTGGGCCACCTAGCTGCCCCACTAGATGTTTTTTTATGACAAGCAATGACTTCCCTCCCTTGCATTTAAGAAGGATTTTTTAAGCCATTTTTTAAGATTTTAGATTTATCCATCTGACATTTGATCTTAATAGATGCAGCTAAATGTTCTAGCCCTTCAATATCATCATTTGCAAATTTAATTAGCATTTGATGGGCAGCTAGGTGGCACAATAGAGTGCTGGGGCTGAAGTCAGGAAGACCTGAGTTCAAAGCTGGCCTCAGATATTTACTAGCTGTATGACCCTTGGCAGGTCAATTAATCTCTGTTTGCCTCAGTTTTCCTATCTGTAAAATAAGGATAATAATAGCACCTACCTTTTAGGTTTGTGGTGAGGATCAAATGAAATGATAATTATTAAGAGCTAAGCACAATGCCTGTCACATGTTAGATATCATTATTAGTATTAGTATTATTATTATTATCCCATCTATGCCTTTCTCCAAGTCATTGACCAAATGTTAAATAGCACAGGACCATTTGTGTGCCACTAGAGAACTCCTGCTAAACTGATATTGAGTTGTTAATGACAACTTGTTGAGTCTGGTCATTTGACCAGTTATGAATTCATCTCATTGAGTTGTCATTTATCCTACACTTCTTTATCTTTAAAATAAGAAAATCATAAAATACTTTATCAGATATTTTGTAAAAATTAAATAAAACTATAACTCAGTAATCTACTGATCTACTAATTTAATAATAATGCCCTCTCCCCCCAAAAAAGAAAATAAGGTTAGTCTAGATGGCCTATTCTCTTTGAAATCCCACTTCCATTTCTAGAGGTTCAGCAAGCATCTTTTTTTTAAACAATTTGAGGGTTTATTCCATTAAAGAATGTCCAAGTTAGGGTCTATTTGCACTTCGAGCTTTGATCTTTCTTAAGCAGAACTCAAGCTCTTTGCCCTCCAGCACGTAGCCTTCTGCTCGGCCACACTGGCCTGGCCTCGGTGCGATCCAGGCAAGTAACTTGCCCTGCTTAATTCCAGAAGTGGGCTGATCTTGACATTCTTCTTCTGTTCCTCATATTTCTTCTGGATCTTCTTTGACCACTTTTTATTTAAAATTTCTTCCTCCTGAGGATTCAGCTTTGCTCCCTTCTTCTGGCCCAAGGGCAAGGTATGGTGGGACTCATACCACTGGCGGCACGGGGTGCTATCGATGAGCACGATGCAATTCTTTAGTGTCTTGGTCTGGACCAGCTCATTGTTGGATGCATTGTAGACCACATCAATAATCCTTGTTTTTCGGGTACAGCACTCGGAGCCCCAGCAGAAGGTGCCCACGTCCAGCCTCAGCGCCCGGTACTTTTTGTTGCCTCCTTGGACTCGCACAGTGTGGATGAGGCAGGGGCCGATCTTGGTGTTGGCAGGCGGGCGGCCCAGCTCATACTTGTGTTTCTTGTGGTAGGACTTGCGCTTGTCCCCGGTTGCAATTGCGGCGCTCATGCCAGTTGTCCCGGGAGATCCCCATGGTCGGCACGAGCTCAAGCATCATTTTAAAAGGATCTTTGGGCCCCTGAAGGAGTGGAGACTTAAGGATCCCTTCCACAAAGGGCCTCAGCTCTAAGGTCATCTAAACTAGATTGAGTCCTGGGGGAGAATTTCCCTACCACAAAGAGAAGAGTCAGTCTTTTTCTGGTACTCTAGCTCTTATTTAACCACCTCCAGAGTTCTACTGAAAACCTCTTAAAATCTGGCTTAGGTTTGGTTTATGTTTAGGGTCTCCCCTAAAAGGCATTAATAAGTTCAAGTAGAAAGGTACTTGTATATAAAATAGTAGAAATCAAGTGTAGGACAGCTATTTATTTCCTTCACCACAAAAGAAATGTTTAAAACCAAAAGAATCATAAACATACATTAACAAATTCTGAAACTGTGAAACAGTAACCCATTAATCCTAAAATATTTGTCCAGGAGGGGAAAATTTGTTGGATTCAAGGAAGCAAAGGAACTCTGAGAGAGAAAAAATATATGAGTAACTGTAAGGACTTACAAAAACCTCTAAACTAATACAGAAACTCAGCACTGCTAATATGCTCATCCAGCAGGTAAAGACTGCTAGGAGACTTGTGTTACTCTTGAGTAGATTTCACTTTCACCTTGGTCTGCACTATCCAAGCAACAACTCAGGGTCCAAGTTACTTAGCCAGTTAGGTCCTGGCTTAGGCTTTAAGATTCCAGGATGATCTCTGTGGTGACCTCCTCTTCTAATAAGTAGCATAGATGGCAGAGTAGAGGCAGCAACTCAGCTGAACTCTCCCAACATTCCCCTCCAAACAGCTTTAAAATAACATGTCAAATACAATTCTGCGGTGGCCTAGAAAACAAAACGTCACAGAGGGACATTTTTCTAGCCCAAGACAACTTAAGAGGACAGAAGGAGAGGTATGTGACAATGGGGTGGGAGCCAGCCCAGAGCGCATGCATCAGCAATACCAGCAATGGACTTTGGGGGTTGCAATGGCAACACCAACAGCTTCAGGAGTTCTCAGTCCCAAGATGATTAGGTGATTGGACAAATGGTCAGAAAGATATTACCAGGGGGGCAGTTAGGTGGTTCAGTGGATAGAGCACTGGCCGTGAAGTCAGGAGGACCTGAGTTCAAATCCAGCCTCAGACCAAACACTTGACACTTACTAGCTGTGTGACCCTGGGCAAGTCACTTAACCCCAATTGCCTAAAAATAAAAAATAAATAAATAAAAAAGAAAGAAAGAAAGATATTACCAGGGACCATGAGCTTGCACTAGGTACAGGACTGGGTGCTGTTTGACATATCTGTTGACCATATGCAGTTCTGAGTCACAGTTCCAGGGCAGAGAGAAGAGGTTGTAGCTTCAAGGAAGCAGGGGCCCTGGTTGCTGTTCCAAGGTAGAGGGGAACACTAATGCTTGTGACTGAAGGGGAGCAGGGGTCATTCCTGGGCACAGACCATGACAGCAGGGACCACACCTCTCCCAGGACCACTTTGGAAGTATCAAAAACTTACAGACCCCCCAGAACTTGTTCAGAAAACAGAAGCATGAAAAAACCTGACACTTGAGAGTGTCTCCCCATCCCCAAGTGAGCAGAGCTCAATTTTAACATAAAGTTCAAAGTCAATAAAAAGGCTGGAGAAAATGAACAAACAACAACAACAAAAAAAAAAAGAAAGAAAATGATCATAAAACCCTGAACTTTGATCATAGGGAAGATCAATACACAAGCTCAGAAGATAAAAGCATGAAAACAGATAAAGCAAATCCTCAAAGCAAAAATGCAGATTGGACACAAACCCAACAAGAATTCCTGAAATAGCTAAAGAAAGAAATGAGTGGTAGAGGAAAATTTGGGGGAAAATAATGATGATGCAAGAAAATTATAAAAAGAGAATTAACAACTTGGTAAAATAGCACACACACACACACACAAAAATACTAAAGAAAATAACACCTTAAAAAACAGGTGTGACCTAATAGTAGAAGGGCACAAAAATTCAATGAAGAAAAGAATTGGCCAAATGGAAAAAGAGGTACAAAAGCTCACTGGAAAAAAATAATTCCTTAAGGATTAGAATTGGGCAAGTGGAAGCTAATGACTCCATGAAACATCAAGAAACAATAAAACAAAGTCAAA